AGCTGTCAATGAGGTAAATGTACTTTTTTGTTTAATGTATGTGAACATTCTGTGTAAAAACTGTGTGATGTTAATTTCATTTTTTTCGTCTACTGTACACACAGGACCATAACAAAAACTCAATAGGAGTGGCCTCTACTATTGCACACGAGATGGGTCACAACCTGGGACTGTCCCATGACACTGAAACCTGTGTCTGCGGCTCCATTAAATCGAAAAGAGGCTGCATCATGGCAGAGAGTGTTGGGTAAGCTCAGTTTCTCACCTGCACATAAATACCCCCAAATCTACTGTTCTTAAACCCAAAAGCAACGTTAATGTGTACCTTCTCTGTTCTTTCTCTTGCTATCTCTTCTTCTAGACTTGAGTATCCAGCACTTTTCAGCAGCTGCAGTCAGCAGCAGCTCAGCCGGTTCTTGGAGGAAGTCAACCCTGCCTGTCTGCTGAATACTCCCTCTGCTGATCGCGTCTACGGAGGGCCAGTGTGTGGAAATGCCTTCTTGGAGCCTGGAGAGGAGTGTGATTGTGGCACCGTAGAGGTTTGTGCTGAGCTCGCACAGAGTGCACACACACAATCTAACAATATAAGCAAAGCATACAAAGAAGACCGGGTCTTAATATCTGGCACCCCTCTGTCTGTTTCATAGGAATGCAAGAATCAATGCTGCAATGCAACTACCTGCAAACTTGCTGCAGGAGCGCAGTGTGCAGAGGGAGAGTGCTGCCATAACTGCCAAGTAAGTAATACTCACTATGTCCTCTCTAGATGAGTGAAGTCACACCAGTGCTAATTGTGTTACCATATAGCTAGACACAGTCTGACTGTGCCGTCTGACTGGTTATGTGTGAGTGTACGTATTTCAGCAGTCGGTACATCACCATCTGTGGTTCTCTCCGCTCTGCAGCTGAAACCGACGGGCAGTGCCTGCCGACAAAAGACAGGAGACTGTGACCTCCCAGAGTACTGCACTGGTTTCTCCGCCTCCTGTCCGACTGACGCCTACACCCAAAATGGCCTGCCCTGCAACCACGGGAAAGGATACTGCTACAATGGACAGTGTCCTTCACAGCAGGAACACTGCAAGAGACTTTGGGGGCCAGGTAAACCACCAGTGAATAACATTTTGGTTTAGATGTGCTTCGATTCTAATTCATCAAAACTCTTACAGCCATCTTGTGTGTGTGTTGATTCTTGTTTAGATGCTGAAGTAGCTGCAGAAGCTTGTTTCTCCAAGTATGGAAACTGCAGAAAGACACCGTTCAACCAGAGATGTTCCAGCCGGTATGTGCCAAAACAGCACTTTATTAGCACATACTAAGAGTGTGTTATTATTAGTTTGTGGGGTCATTGCTTTGTGGTCTTCGGCTACAGAGATCAATCCTGCGGGACACTTTTCTGCTCCGGAGGCTGGGAGTTTCCAGTGACATCCAGGAAGTCCTTCTACAAAGTAAGAAGTGGAGACATATGCAATGAGGCAACTATGATCCCCGAAGATAACTACCCTGCAGATCTGGGCATGGTGCCTACTGGTACCAAGTGTGCCAACAACATGGTAAGAAAACTAGCCATGTTGCTGTTAGCAGTTAGCATCAACAAAAGATCCAAATCTGTGAATCTGTTTCATTGTCCCAACAATGGCTTTACCTGTCTTTCAGGTATGCTACAATCAACGGTGTGAAGACATGAAAAACATAAAAGCGTATGGGACAAATGACTGCACTGCCAAATGCAACAGCCACGGGGTAAGAAATGCTTTAACCTCGCAACACTTTGGAGCGCTGTAGAGCCATGACAACAAAGAATGACTGTGGGTGTGATCTCCGTCAGGTTTGTAACCATGAGAACAAGTGTCACTGCGACCCCGGCTGGGCCCCTCCGTTCTGTGATGAGCATCTGTCAGAGTTGCCTGAAGGTATCGTACATGATACGCTTGTCTGTCCACATATGTAAGCACTGATAGCCAGAGTCTGTGTGTCTGCTTCTTTAATATGCTTGACCTTTTAATGACCACGACACATGACTGTGTCTCCTCTCGTGCTCATTTTTTCACCACAAGTTAATGCTTGAAATAGATTTCTCATGGACAATAAATGTTCTGATGAGCACAGACAGACATTGATTTAATGTAATTCACCCCTGTTAGTCTGTATAAATGCAGTAATTATGTTACAATGCATTTTGCTTCCCGAGTGGGTGAGGCATGTTGTTAGGTGCTCACTCTTGAGCAATTACAGAATATGGCAAAAAATCAATGTGTGGTTTGTGTGTGTGTGTGCAGAGGCAGGTGTGTTGGTGTTTATTGTGTCATTGGTGGTTGGCTTACTGCTGCTGTTGGTCCTGGTTATCGGGAGTTTGATGTGCTGCATCAAAAGAAGACGACCTGCAAAAAGGTAAAAAAAAAAGTTATTGTACATTGAGCCATACAGACAAAACTTCATATTCTTGTCTTGTTCTTTAATCTTAGTTTCTGTGTGTGTTTCTTTATAGATGCCTCCAATCTACCTCAGGACAATCCAACCCGTTGTTTCATTCCAGCGGTGCACGAGACAGCCCTCGTCTCGGGTCCACACACATCAGCCAGCCTATATTTATGGAGTCTTCTGCCTCTCAAGTCTGTAAACCTCTGTCCTCTGCTACTGCCAGACCCCACACCGGAGGACTGAAGCCCAGCAGAGCAGCTCCAGAGGTGAGCTTCCATTTCAATCACCACCAGAGTGTAGTGACACTGACCCTAATACTGCATGTATTAGCGTTTTAACTTTTTATCTAAATTCACTAGGCATGACCTTTCCATCTGTGGGAAATGCGGTTTGCATCTGAAACCATGTAATTGTGGTTATTTGTGGTTTTGGGTAACTGGCCCAAATTTGAAGATACAGAAACAGAAAATGTGCTTGCTGCAGTGTCCCTGAGTCACACACTGACAACCAATGAGCTTACAATATAATTTGAAATATTACTTCCAATATTATCAATATTATCATTTATTTTATTTTACTAAATGTGCCTTACTTTTATTGTTATTCTACATACAATGGTGTTTTACTACATATTGCCAATATTGTAATTAAACTGCAAAAAACTGTATAGTTATGGTTAAAAAAATACTTTCTGTCACTTACAGCCACCTAAGAAATTACCTGCGGTACCTCAGCCATCGAGGATTCAACAGGTAATCTGATCTGTTTTATCTTTATCTAAATGTAGCATTATCTATGTGTAGAATTACAATCCTTATTGTTAACTGTAAATAAACCAGTGAATAAATGTTTTTCTTTAGGCTGTAAGGACGTTCACACAGGCACCAACTGTTTCAAGCAAGCCAATCTATACGGAGGTAAGACTGCATATAGAAATTGGCATTATTTCTAATTTCATTTGTAAGGACAGTACTTGCTGGCTTTGTTAAAAGATGTATTCATTTTTAATTGTATTATTACATTTTTGTCAGGATAAGCCACGACCTCCATCCAGACCTCTGCCACCACTTGCAACAAAGCCAGTAAGTGACATTACATCATTTTAACTACAATTTTCACATGTTTGCATTCACGCATTTAACGCCTCTTGCCATTGCCACTTGTTTGAGATGTGAACATCTGCTCTCTTAAGATCATGAAGCCAAAGCCTCCGATGCCTCCAGTGAAGCCGAAGCCCTCTGCAGTCCAGTCTCCACTGCCACACACTCAGCTGGTATGTATTCAGATGACAACCACCGTCAACTGGACTTTTCTAAAGCCTCTGAATCCTGGCAGTGGGCATTCAAACATTCCTAATGTTATTCAAGGCATTCACGTTTATAAAAACGTCTGTGGTTTTGGACATTGTCCCAACATACCAGTGTAATGACCAAGCAGTGGCTCAGCGTTAGTGAGTTAGTAAGCACCACTGAATAACTAAGAGACAGACAATAGAAGAGTTTTGTGATTTTTTTACTGGTTTTACTGGTAGAAGCACATCAGCTGCATGTTTGTTAACAATACTTGCTTTTCTAGCTTGCAGGGAGATCTGCCCTGATGCCCCCCAGCAGGCCCAGATGACAGAGGGAATAATTCAGCCTGGTGTAAACACTGATATCCTCTGACAGAGGACATTGTTGTTGTCCCACCTTGAAGGACCTAGAAATCCTCGGAGGAGACGCTCGTCTGTTTTAAAGTCGAAACAAGATCCACTGAAGGATCAGCAACAATAAATGACAGAGCTTTTCTGTCAATTATGGTGTCCCTGAGGATTACTGCCGTCTGTGTCGTGCTTATGTAAGCCTTCAGTATGTTAATGAAAACCTGAAGCCGTGATTGACAGACTCAACGTCTGTGCTTTATAAATGACAAATGGCTATGTTGCCATGATGATGTTTTTTTTTGTTGTTGTTGCTTTTTTAAGGGAAATGTCTCTGCCTTGATCCTTGGATATGTGAAAATTTTTATGAGTCAATTGCACTATCAATGCTGTAACTGTTTTACTAACAGTTCATGTTCCCTGGCATGGTTTTGGTACTGCTTTTCTAAGAAATAATGTTGTTAAGGGATTTTAAAATGTTGCACCAACTGTGGGCACTTTACTTTTTTTTTTTTTTATCCAGTTATGACTATTTCTTGAAATTGTTTTTGTACTAACTTAGGTATGCTTGACTTTGTGAGACTGAAGTATTAACATTACATGCAGCTGTTTTGTTTTGTGCGTTGACTTGATCCATGTTGATTGTAATTCTTTAAGGGATTTTATATTGCATATAGTCTATGCAGCAGACATGATCACGCACACAGTCCTTCACTTATTAACGCCAATGAGTGTGGTCTCTCCTTAGGGTGAGGAGGATTCTGCCTTGATTTGTCCTGCAAAATGTATATTTGAACCGTTCCTATTTATTGAGATCTAATGTTTGTCTGTGACATGGAGCTTACAATAAAGGTGAATCAACAACATCAGTGTTTCGGGCACTTTTCTCTGTGTTTTTATCCAGACGCCATCATCTGTGTTGCCATATTTAATTGGCGGTCGCCTAGCTACGCCTTCAACAACCTGCTGTCGGGGGGAAGCTAACAAGCTAGCTCAGTGAAACAGTTTGGATTTTGTTCTTCTTTTACAAACTGTCCACAAACACATGTCGCTGTGAGAACAATGGACCGAGAACTGAACGACGAGGAGCTGCAGGATTTCTACGCATGGATAGATAAAATACCTTTGTCCCGGCCCAAAAGAAACATCACACGAGACTTCAGCGACGGAGGTAGTTAAGTTTTGGCTTCACTAGCAATCCACTAACGTTAAACAAGCACTAGGAGTAATCTGACCTCGTATAGATTTGTCCTATCTCCAGCTACATCCATCTTGTTTGCGGAGTTAAACAGCTCAAATGTCTGTTTGTTTATTTCTCTACCTCTTGTGAACTGACTCTGCCTCTCTTGTTCTGCTGAGCCCTCTGTAGTGATGGCTGCAGAGGTTGTAAAATATTTCTTCCCAAAGCTTGTTGACCTGCACAACTATATTCCTGCAAACTCCACACCGCAGAAGCTCAGTAACTGGAACCTTCTCAACAGGCAAGACACCAGTCATTTTTTATTAGTTTAGTGTTTATTAAAAATTGCATGTAGGGATCTAATGAAGGTGGCTGCACTCATGAATCTGAGACTGCTGAACAGAGGCTGCATGAAGGACACAACCACAAAATGTTACCCCCATATCTGGAAAAAATTTAAATTCTCATAATCTGACACAATCAAACACACACTCAACAAATCAAGCACACACTCAACAAAAAGTTACAATCCCAATTTATATCTCTCAATCCAAACGACAATAACTGTTATAGTTTTTGCTTTTCAGTAACATTTTGCTGCAAACACTGAGGCAGAACATTTGTTGAGCACTGCCATGGGCCTGTGCATCTGGTTGTGAGAACCAATCCAACACACACCCACTCATCCTCTCCCTGGCCACTGATATGGCACACAGCCAGCTACAGCTTAATCGGTCTCCACTGTGAACACATTGGCCCCTATGTGTTTATCATCTCCGTGCATCATCAGTGAAATCCCTTTCAATATGCCACTCCTGCTGTAACTAGTTTTGTCAATTAAAAAACATCTGCAATTTGTATTTTTTTTTTAATTTCCTGTGGACAGGAAGGTGTTTTCCAAGCTGAACTTTCATGTGCCTGAGGAGACAATGAAGAGGATTGTACTGAGCACCGCAGGAGCGATAGAGCCTGTGCTGAGTGCCCTCCGGGAGAAGATAGATCAGAAATTGGAGCACACTACAGAGAATATACTGGTGTGTACTGCATGTTTATACATGTATGTGCAGGTCATACATACTTTGTTTTTGTATTGTATTGTATTGTATTGTATTTTGTATCTCTCTTCCATGTGAATCATAAATCTGTCCTCTGGATATTTGAGCATAAACATTGTAGGTGGAAAAATAACCACAATTTGAAAGATCTTTCTTTTGCACTCAGGATTTGGAATACTACAACACCAGGGACCGAGAGAAACCTCATACGGGTAGAGTAGCCATTCAGTTTTTCCATTTACACAAACCCTAACATTTATTATATATTTATCATACCTTTTTTTCTGTACCAACAACGACAATTCACACGTTTGTATAAAAAAAAATAAAGGACAAAAGAAAAGGAAACGGAATGAAAAGAAAATCTTCTGACCGATATGTGTGTTACCATATTTGACCTTAGATCACATCACGTTACAGGACAGTGATAAAGATTTCTGCAGAAGTTACTGAAGTCGGTGAAATCAACTGGTTTACAGAAACAGACGACACAGATGACTGTGTTTTGACTTTATGCCTTGTGCTGAATTTAACCCTGTTGCTGTCATCTGTGGAGTGTCTTAGCTGACAGTCCATAATTTGTCTTTTTTTAGCACAGGGAGGGAAGTGGGTGTAATTGTAGACACTTTTTAATGGTGCTGCGTCTGCTGGTCAGCTGACAAACACTAAATCAATATATTAAAGACACACTGAGTTGTTGGGTTTTTTGTGTCTGAGAAGGCTGTTTGGTGATTGCTGTGAAATGAACTTATCTGCTTCCTGTCTTGTCTTGCCTGTCCTGATATTGTCAGCGTCTAATCTATCCCCGAGATAGCATTGAGCACTCAGAGACACACACATACCTACATTTAACAACATCAGACAGGACCGATTAGAGAATGCTGCAACCTTTAGGGAGTGGATCGGTGATGTGTCGCTCTTCCGTTTCCCACACCTCATCTGTCCCTGAAACCACCGTGTAATGTTGACCTCAGGGCAGCGCCTCCTCCCTCTGCTCTTTCCTCTTCCATCTACACCCCATCCACTATCAGACATGCAGCTCAGGTCCTCATATCAACTACCAACATCACCAGATGGCCATTATCACTGCCCTGTGCTCAGCACTGCTGGACTTAAAGGCCTCCCTATTTTTCTCTTTCTCCATCTTCTAATCTTACTTTCTTGTTCCTCCCTCTTTCTGCTTACAGCCAGCGCCTATCTGCCTCCTATCCTCCTATCCTCCTCCATTTACCCTAGTTGTGTCCAAAAGATTTGTTGGATGAATCCCTGCAGAGTTTTAAACAACAGAGTTTCATGTTGGAGAAGTCTTACAGTTTTCTTTTGCTGGCTTCAGAAATTTGTCAGACCGAAGCGAAACTTCTGTCTCAGCTGGCAGGAGAAGAGATGAAAAAAGATGAAAAGAGCAGACTCAAAAACGGGTATGACCAAAATGTTGCTTTTAATGTGATTTAAATTAATCAGTAGCAGTCTATAATAACAACGTGTCTTTTGCTGTTTTACTGTGTAGTAAACCTCAGCACACAGCACAGTTTTACTCAGACATGGATCCTACTTTCCGACTAATCCTGCAGGAAAAAGATCAAGCTGTCATGGCTTTGCAGGAGACTGTGGAGGTACACACACACTTGAATTCGGGAAACACTGGGCTGGCTGAAATAAAATCTTCCGTTTTGATGTCCTGTAGAAGAGCTTTGTCATACAGACCACCGGTAATATTGTTACAGATGTGTATGTGTGTTAGAGAGAGGGGGGGAGAGAGACATTGTGTGAGTGTGAGTGTGAGTGTGTGTGTGTGTGTGTGTGTGTGTGTGTGTGTGTGTGTGTGTGTGTGTGTGTGTGTGTGTGTGTGTGTGTGTGTGTGTGAGTGTGAGTGTGAGTGCGTGTGAGTGTGAGTGCGTGTGAGTGTGAGTGCGTGTGTGTGTGAGTGTGTGTGTGTGTGTGTGTGTGTGTGTGTGTGTGTGTGTGTGTGTGTGTGTGTGTGTGTGTGTGTGAGTGATACATATGCGTCATAAGCTGTGTCAGCAGTGGTCAGTGAGTCAATATCTGCTCAGAGGATATAACTTTTTTTGTGGCTGCTCCTTCATGTTAAGAAAGAGGTAGAATAAGGACACAAGTATGCAACACTTCCTGTTGCAACTTTAGGAAGTTCATCAGTTAGATAATTCAGTTTCAGAAATGATCTGCCCATATTTTTACCACATCCTTTTGCAACATTGTGTGTATGTGTGTGTAGATCCTGCAGATGAAAGTGAACAGGTTAGAGCATCTGGTTCATCTGAAGGACATGCGGATTGAAGATCTGATGCGGCATCTGGAGACGTACAAAGCAAAAGACAGTACACGCTGATACATGTACACCAACAATACAAAAAGAGGATCAGATCTGAGATTATTGCCCTAACAGCTAAAATGCATCAAATGCACCTGCGGGATTACAGATGTGTTATGTTTTAACACTGTCTTGTTTATTAAGTAAAGTGTGTTTTTTTGCTGAAAGAGAGGTTGTTCATTTCATTCCCATGAACATCAGCTGTAATATCTTCAATCTATCTTGTCTAAGGAGATTCTACTGTAAATGGTTTATCAGTTCAAAAACTGTGCCTTTACACAGCCTATGACTTCTGACTGTCAAGTGCTCAATAAATCAACTCACTTTTCAAGTTGTCTTTTTCAATATCAGCAGAGTGTAGCAAATAAGCGGAGCAGCGATCTGAAGCATTGCAATTAACCCAACTTGTGCAAAAGTGTTTATACACTGTGACTGTCACTTACTTCCACAAATAAAATGACATCACTCATTTTTCTATTTAACACTTGTTACTGTTTTAGAAGTGACGATTGGTGACGCAAATCAAACGCAGCTATTAATGACTTAATTTTCCACTGTATGAAGCGTCGGCTTCAGAATGAGTGTACAGTGAAGCTGACATATACAAATATAGTAAAGCATTGCCGACTTTGATCTTGCTGTGCTATAGCTGATCTTCTCCAGCTGCCTGCTGCTGTGACTTAGTTTAGTGTTAATCACCTTCACACCACCTAATCAATCACCATTATCAAGCTTGAAGCAATATAACACTGAGGTACAAATCTTCCATTTTATCTTTCATCACTCCAAGTAGACAGCTTTCAGACTTTTGTCACGGTCTTGTAGATATTTACAAATTAGTTCAATCAGGAATAAAGAACTATTGAACAATAATGCATAAATTATACAGTGTTCAGTGTAAATTAGTTTACTAGCATGCCACGCAGCCAACAGCAATATCAATGAAAAGTCTGTCATGTCTGCAATAATATGTTATTTTGTTTCAACATTTATTTAATGTTATTTTATATTGTTGGTGAAAAGTAAAGCAACATTTCCCATGTCCCAGTGAATCACTGCCTCCCAATGCTGCTAATCCACCATACATAATAAACAACATAATAAATGGGTACATTTAAAAGATTTCCCCACTCTAACAAGAGTGCAGTAAAAATAAAAAGTGATATTTTTATTGAAAGCGCGCATGACATATAATCTACCCATCTACATCCCAAAATTAGGTCATACATAATTTCTTTTTTTTAAGTAACCGAAATATTCATACTGGCATCAACGTTCAAAAAAGTCAAGCCGTATAATAAAATATATTTATAATAAGTATAAAACTACTATAGTACAGCAAACAAGATCCGAAATAATAACCAGGACATTGTGTTGGTTGCAGACCAGTCTATCATGATGACACAGATTTGTTCTGCACTAAATAATCTTTTGACAGATGCAACAAGGTTTCCAGAATTGGAGTAAACAGAAGAGAAAGAAATTAAATGTCTCGTATTTTATAACATTCCATAAAGGTGCAGGACTTGTGAGAGAACAGTCACAATCGAAGCAGCAGAGGCCAAGATATGCTGAGCTGTATCTCCACAAACACTGACTCCTACTACTCCCATAATGCAGCTGACACACTAGCCAGCCAAGACATGTTAGCATTAGTCAGAACCAGAACAGCTCTCTAGCTTCTTTCTGTTTTGTCTGTGCTGAGCATTTTGTTCTCAGTATTTTAGTTTCCTTCAGTAAAGAGTTTTTGGTCGGTCACTAACTGAGTAATAAAAAAAAGAAGACATATTTGTACCATTGACTCTTTTGTGAGCTGTTTATACTGTAACAGAGTAATAAGCGGTCGGTTCCCTCAAAGGTCATCACCGTTAACATGGCTCGCTGTTGGTCAACAATGCAAATTTACGGGTCAGAGTTCACCAAAGTTGAAAAGTTCAAAGGTTGAAATTTTGGTGGATTTACTTCCTGCCCCTGTGAAATTTACCGTGAAATTGAACAGTTTTACACGGTGTAACCGAGCCTTAACTTAAGGTAAGCCTTATGACATCATCAGGGTTATCTTCCCAGAACAAAGCTCCCTTCAGGGCCACAGAAGACAAAATACAAGGGTTTTCCCAGGCTCAGCAGTACTCCTCATGATAAGTAAACTGACCTTTCTGTGTCAAATTAAAGGCTGGCTGATCATTTACAACAGGAAAACAAACAAGAACTGGTTGATTAAAACAGGCGTATATGACATATATGCAACACATAATTGGGTTTTTTGATGTACACACAGGTTAGGAATGTGAGCATAAAGTGCAGAACGGAGCAGCTGATGAATCATATTCAGTATCACACAGCTGTTAGGGGAATGGATTTCAGGCTCAGAGATGAGGGACCACACCCTTGTATCTCTGGGGAGGGACAGATCCAGGTAGGAGTCGAGGCTAGACGGATTGTGCAGCATCTGATGATCAAGGACAAAAGGAAGGAAAGAGAAGCACTGGCTCATCCAGGAAGCAGCCAACCTGACCTTGACCCCACTTCCTGAGAGGGAGGGCTTTAAACTTGCTGACATGAAATCAGACCACCCATTAAAAATGAGCACAGACCACCAGACATCCACATAAGAAAAAAAACCCTCTAAAAAACCCTCTTCCGTTAAGTAAACACGATGAGCATGAAGTTTATTTGCACTCACAAACATGCTTTATGATCGCATTTCTCACAAATGCTGATATCAGGAAATACCAGATCTGTGGTCCGACTAAAACTAAACACCCTCCCTCTGAAAGTAAAGACTGATGGTTTGGCTGTGAAAGGATACCAGAGCTCTCTGTTAGGACAGAGGTCATAAGAGGAAGCTATCCCTCATTTGGTCATTCAGGCTGCGGTCACATGCACACTTTGAATACTTCCTGGAAAGCCTTTGTGAACAGCTGACTAGCCTTGCTGAGGGCAGGACTTGAGGTTTAGAGTCAGTCTCCTGGGATGCTCATTTTCCAAACTCAGACAAACACATCTCTGTTTTTGTAATGTTTACAACACGTTTTGTGGGTTAGAACAACAGGGACTGTGTGATGGATTGTGTGTATGTGTACTCAGTAAATGTTCATTGAATCATCCTCGTGTTGCCACAAACACCCAGCCATCCAAAGAAGTCAACGCACGCTCATTGTCCAAATGTCTCACTTTTTTGGATCCTGCTTAACAGTGAAAAACAGAGCTAAAGCCCAAACTTAGTATGTGTGCATGTGTAGTTTGAATGTCTCACAGAGTATGGGAAATTTGAGTGCTGAGTTTCACATAGTTTAGTTCTTTAAATCTGTAGATGTTAATGTTTTATTTTGACATTATCAACTACACATTTTACACAAACTTGCTTTCCTCATGCAGTTTTAAAGCTTTACATTTTTTCTGAACATCATTTCACATACTCATTTTACTGACCCTTATTTGGGCCCATAATTTGGCCTTTATTCTTAGGTTTTGCTTTGTTAAACTGAACTTGTGTCAAGTAAACACCACTTGGCAAAACTCTGTTTGGGGCTCAGTGACTGAAGCAGCGCTTTGAGTGGTGTTAGCTCTCCTCCTGTTGGCATCCAAGTGCACTACACAATGTCCACACACAAATCAGCAGGAGAAGAAAGGTACCAAAATAGGTTTTATTTTTACATAAGAACATTGTCAAAACTTGAAAACATTTTGCATATAAACCTTTTAAAACAAGGAGACAATGTTTGGATTTCACAGATTGTACAAAATATTGACAAAAAATTATTTTCATGAGTGATTCCTACCCCCTTTTGCATCTTTATTTGAACCCACCACCAAAGCAAATGCAGTGCAGCGCAGCCTTTGACTGCCATTCGGAGGTCAAGTAAACATCACATCTTCCAAACACTAGTAGTGTCCACTGCTAGTTCTGTCATTCTCAGCGAGAGTCTATGAAGAGACTGCACAGTACAGTTTGTAAACCCAAGTCTTAATGTTACGTGTTTTAGTTTCTTATTATTTAAGGCTTGAATTCTGAATAGCGGAAGTTATTTCCATGTTTCTGAAATGCAGAGCTGAACGAAAGCTTAAAACACAATAAAAACTAGCACCAACTTGCATCTTGTTTAAGCCCAAGCTTTATCAACATTCATCTTTAAATAGAATAAAGCTTGTTTTTGTGTAGTACTGGAACTCATTTCATCACAAAAATGATGGGAGGTTAAACAAATTTTCACTAAGTGCAAATTATTGTTAGGAGCTATGTGTTGCCTTTTAAATTCTGTTTAGCAAAGATTGAAAAACAGTCCATTCATTCTTTAATTGCAGAAAAATGTTAACATCGACAGTGGAAAGGATATTTTGTTTAGATTATTTATACTTTGAATGACAAACAACCTCATAATATTCAATTTTACAGACACCTACTGTAAATAGACGGTGCAATAAAATGGTGACCGTGCAATCAAAATGTCACCTTAAATATTTTCAGAAGACACAAAATCTAGTTGACTGTGGCGTTTTATTTTAGACAACGAACTTTCGTTTGAAACTAAATCAGAGCTCTGCTTATCCTCAAATCAAAAAGTCAAATATTGTCTTGTCTCACAACTTCAGTTCCAACTTGTGTATGACCAGATTCCATTAACAGATTTTAAACATACAGCGTAGATGCTCATTTATTTTCTTTTTAATTTTCCAGCACAAATAGATGATTTTGATTTTTGAAGAGGGTAAGCTCTGTACGACATTGAGCAGCTGTTTTATTAAAATAAACGTCCGTCTCGTGAGAGTTTACATTCCAACCACATCTGAATAAGCTGTATAACAACACAGTTGGCAGACAATCGCAGGCACTAATAATCATCTGAATTAAGCCACTACAAATTTCCGCTTGCATGGCCCTGATAATCAAAGCCAGATGGAGGAAAGAAAGACTTACTGGACTTCTTGACGAAGGAATACAAATCACAACTTCCTCCAGTGGCACCATTACTCAACTGATTTGTTGTTACACTTACATATTAAACTTTTAACTATTACTCAACTCTTAAAAGACAAAATCTGAATTTCTTTTAGCAGCACTAGAACCTTTTTCCTCGGATGGCTTCACAGTAAATGCCAAAGCAGGTCTTAGTGCATCATCTTAAGTCTTACTGTGGTGGCTGCGCTCTCAACCACAACTAATAACAGCAAAATTTCACCAAGCAAACAGAAGATAAACAACATTACTACCAATCTGTCACCACCACATGATGAAAGCCCTCGACTTAAATGACTTGAGTATCTGTAGAATAGTATCAAACTGTACGCAGGCCATTTTGTAGAATGTTTACATATAAAACATTTTTTTTCATAGCTCATTTTTCAAGTCTGCTTGATTTCAGCCAACTGGAAATGTAGGTGGGCTCTATGTGGTGAACGACTGCTGAAATATCTGCGTGTATAATGTTTAAACTGCTGTGTATAACCTGTCATAACCATTTTAAGTTCATCCATAAGCAGCATTTGCTCTGAGGTGGGATTAAAACAGTCCTCACACTGACTTGTATTAAGGGAGAAGAGCCAACTAGTGATTTAGTGTAGGAGAAGATGACAAAGAGATGACCTACCCACGTTACACACTTACACAAAGCATCCCGCCTTTAATTAGTGTCACCTGTCAAGATTCCAGTTCAGCTAAACCAGAAATTAATTCTCAAAAATCATATTAATTTTCATCACAAATCACTCTTCTTGCATACAACAAACAAAATAAATGCAGATCCAACAGCAAAGTTAAACACTGCACTGGTTGCAAGCACATGTAAATTAGGGCGACTACTTGCCGTCGCCTTTCCAGGCATAAGCATTTATTATGCTTTTAATTTTTAACTATGGCATCATTCTCATTCCTACAACTCGCAAAGAGTGGAAGGTAAAAACAAAAAGAAGTTCCCTTTTATCTTGCCTCTCCAAGCTCTCAATTCTGCTTGTCCTGAATTGTTCCTATGCCATTTAGATTTAAGACTTAAGTGTGTTTGTTTACCACACTAGCTGCAAAGCCGTCCCACCCATTATCTTCATTTCAGTGCTCTCCGCCTCACAGACAAGACAGGTTCCCCATCAGGTTCTCCTGTCCTGTGCAGAAACAGAGCTGTGGACTCACTGCCCCTCCGTTTTAAGAAAGTCTTGTTGAGCATTGGGCAGATTAGCGGCGTGCACAGACTTAGGGGGGCTGTTGTTTCCCTCTACAAACATGTTAGGGATCTCCTGGCCAAAGTAGATCTTACTGTTAGCTGATATGGCCTGGTACTTCATCAGCTCCAGGTACGCCGGGGTTAACTTCAACTGTAAAAATTAGCAGACAGACACAGTATGTGAGGATTAGATCATCAGTAATAACAATACTGCTATGAATCTTAATGTGACTGGACAACGTACAGCATGGCTAAAAGCGAATGTAACATTGCTCTTGGCTCGGCTGGGGAGGATCTGGTTCCAAATAAAAAGCAAAGTCGGTGGTGTGCAAGTCCATTTTAAGTTAGTTTAAGTTCCTGCTGTAATGGTGTTAGTCATGTGTCTCATGCAAATATTTTAAAGGTGACATTTTAATGCCCCCTCTGTTTGCACAAAGACGACGATTTATTTTAAAGAGGAGCAGAGAGCCACAGCTCTGCCTCTGCCAACCATCCAGTGAATCCGCCAGACAGAATGTGTGGGCTGTCTGTATAAATCTGACTACACCAACTGAAATTATGATATGAAAATGTTTATATTATTAGTGCTAACATAGTGTAACGTTGATATTGTAGCTATCACAAAAATACCTTGCAATATAGCAATAATATTTTAAAGCCATTAAGATTTTATGTTTCGTGTGCGTTTGTCTATGAAACGGTGTCAACACCATCTTTTACCGCGTTTGCTTCAGCCAACTTCGTAGCAGTGTAAAATTCTGCATCAGCCTTTGCCCGCTCCCTTGCCAGGAAGGCAGAATCTGAAACAAAGAGACAGTGTTGAATAAGACAGGCACATGACAGACCAGTTCAGCAGACGCCAACGCATACAGGAACACACAAATCCATCTCACAGAAGAGAACTGAGAAACAGTGAGGCTAACCCTCTATTTGAGAGATCCTCTTCTCTGTCTCTTTCTCCATCACCTTCTGTTGGAAGTGGATCTCTGCTACCTGGGCCATTTTCTGAGCCTCTGTGGGATAGAGAAACATTAACTTTGAGGAAGGTACAGAAGGGTAGAGGTCGATAGTAGGGTTATACATGAGTGACTGAAAGAGGGAAACTGCTAAAATTGTAATGATGGTCATGCAAATGAAAAGCTAGTGGCCTAAGCTAATGTTAGCAGCTGTTTTACAGTAAAAGCACCATCACATTTACCAATAATGGCCTTCTTCCTTTCGGTCTCTGCTTCCTTTTCCACCACCTTCTGAGTCTGAACTGTGATTAACAGACGAGTCTTTTCCGCTTCCCTGCACACACACACACAAAACAGGTTGGGTTCTTTTCTGTGTGGTCTTATTTGAAATGAGTGGGTGGATAACAGGAGAGAATCTGAAGCATGCACTAACACTGCGCGAAGAAGTATAGATTTACAAACTCACATGAGTTCAAAGTTCCTCCTGATAGACTCGGGGATTTTTGGCTTGGTAACACGGACTGCCTTCATCACGATGTTGAAATAGAAAAGAGAGAAATAAATAAATGAGCCTTTCCCCATAATCAGCCTGCCAATATATTTTTACAGAGAGTGGATGACTGGTCATTAGGTTAGTTAGAAGACTGATTAGGATGAACGTTCTGATCAGTTAAGCCTCATTCACACCCCTCACCTACAAGTGGTCAACAAATGTCATGTGTTGTGTTCAATGTGTTTCCATTTTCCCCTAATGTATTTCTTCACAGTAGTACATTAATGGTCCTCACTCAGGGGCGGGTTTCATTAAAAAAACAGTTGCAGAGAGTAAATTGGCATTGGCTCACAGCTCAAGCTGGATTTATAGTTGGGGTTAATGGCAGCCCCGCTTTTATTCACTTCATCAGAGAGTGGCGGTTGCAGTGTAAATGGCTTTGCTTGATGTGTGTTACTGAAAAGGAGATGACTCTTTCTTCACTCTGACCCCATGTGTAATTTTGAGGAGGTGCACAACAGATGCCATAACCCCAGTATGAGCAACTATTAATCCTGCTTCAGTCTTCAGCAAGCCAGACTCATCTAGTTGTCATTGTGACTTGAATCCCAGTCTTCCTGCTTACTGTGGAACTTGTGTGTGTAAATACCTGTATTGTAAGTCCAGGTGCCATAACAGTAAGGTCTTTCTGCAATGCAGTCTTCAGGTTCTCATCTATAATGTCTGCAAGACAAAAACAGCAGCTGTTTGAATACACGACATGCGGTGTATCACGTTTTAGGAATTTCAGGAATGAACACAGCACAAGTTGCCTTGTACGTACTGCATTCAAATGAAACAACACTGTGTTTCATTACTAAAGTGCACCCACCAAACAACTCAATGTAGACCTCCTGTAGTGTGTGTACACTGCAGAACTGGTTGAGTTCATGGTGAATCTTGTTGAAAATTAGAGTTTTGTCATAATCAGCAGTATAGTTCCTCACAATGTCCACCACTGCAAATAAAAGCAACAGTTGTTGTGATCCCAGGCAGCTGGCACAGTTAATGAAATACATAAGGAACTCATGCAATGAAGGGAATACGAATATTTTGTACCTGCTGAAGAGACCAGCATGTTAACAACCTCTATCCTGTCAAAATAGATCATCACACCACCACTGTGAAGAAAAACAAATACCTGTTCAATACATAATCATTTCCTAAATGGATCAATTTCTTGAACAGCTACGTCAATTAGCTCAGTCTTACCTCGTTCCACAAGGCACATTCTTGATCTCATCAGTTTGGAGAGTAGTCTGAAACACAAAAATTCAAAACATAATCAGACAAAGATTATTCCCCTACTACAAGGGTGCTTACATTAACATGACAATTTTTCAAAGTTGTATATTGCTAGTTTATAAAAGTATTTAAGACTAGATAAGGCAGCGCATTGTTTTTATGTTAACCTGAATCTATAATACATACAATGTGCTAATGCTAATCATCAAGGTTTATTCTTCATCTTGGAAATAAGTTTGACACACAATAATTATAATATTAATTAAAATTCAATTAATTTCAGTTTGGGTCACGTGATGACAACTGAACCCTTTCCTTGACAACTGAGCCTTGACTATGAGATGCAGTTTAAAGCTCAGGAAAAAAGCTAGTAAGTGGACCTTGAGATATTTTATTAACCTTTACTGTTGATGTTCAATCTCGTATCTTAGTCATAGCAATCGCACAGGTTACGGCTACAACAAGTTTAAAAAAATAAAAAATAAAATTACCCAATAAAGGCTACAACCTGAATAATATTATTATCACTATTACACATGTAAGCAAAAAATGTTTTGCTTAAAGCGTATTTCGCAGCACAACAAATGTGTATAAACTTGGTGTAAAATAAAGTCACTGCAACCACGGTTGAATGGCAACTGATTACATACTGTAGCTGATTTATTTATAGATGATCCCTTCTGGTTTTCATGTGCAGCAGCTTATGGTTGACTATCACATTACACATGCCTCTGCTAAAAGTCCAGGTTTCAGGGCTGAAAGTTGAGTTTACCTGCACTGATCTAAAGGTGGTAATGAAAGGCAGCATAATGTGATATCCAGGACCATTGGGAGAAGTCAGTAATGCCCCACCCCTGAAACAAATACAAACAAATTACTTAGTCTTAATTCTTAGGAGCAGATGTTTCACTGATTACATCCAAAAACAGGGTAAACAAAAGAAAAGGACAGAAAGGTGTTTATTCAGGTGTTAACAGTCATTAAAAAGGTGTAGTTGTGTTTTTGATGAACAACTTTGAATTCTTATAAAAGGGTATTTCTGTTATTTTGTCATTCTTGAAAACTCTGTCAACAATTAAGGTATAATATCTAGATTATATCCCACATACTATATATTATGGTTCTTTTTAAGTTCAATTTGCCCCCTGCAGGGACCACTCAAGTTTAATATTAATCTTTATTGTTGATTAAGCCATGTTACATTTGACCAATACCTATGAATTGTAGCTCACATCTGAAATGGAAAACTTGAGCCTTTTTTTATCTCTCTTTGGTCAAACAGGTTTGGAGCTTATACACCAAAATAATTACCAGATAATATAGAAAACAGGCCTCTTCCAAATAACAATATGCCATCCACATTCTAAATATATGTGCCTTATTTCTGTCAGGCACAGATGTTACGCATCATTATAGTGATACCTGTAGTACACAGCAAGGTGTCCTTCTTCTATCTTGTGAATGGAGGAGTGCAAAATGATGGCCATCACTCCTGCTATTGCTGCAAATACTGCCCCTACATGCGCCATTGTCATCATCACTAGCACTCACCTACAGGGAGAGAAAGAAGCATGAACACATATATTTATACAACAATATATTCTCAGGGCACCATTAAGCCTACGGTCAGGAGTCTACAGTCTGATACAATGCAGTCTAATACAACAGCCTACTTTCTTGAAGGTTTTAATGTTCGGCTTTGTTTAAACTGTTTTAGAAAGGTGTTAATCCACCACACTTTACGGTTTTGGAGGCTGTGGTGCTGTTGAATTGTATTGATCTTTTAAATATGTTGTCTAACCTCAAACGTATAAAGTACTAATTATAAAATACTATTTATACACCTCTAAATAAACCAAACTATGCAAAGCGTCATAAAACTTATTTTAAAAGCATCTGCCCCAAGCACTGTTTGGCAAAATTTGCATGGGTGCAGGAAGGCACAACACTTCCACCTCGTTACAGCATTTTCGTTAGAAAAGCAAGGATGAGTAAATGCCCTGAAATTGTTGACTCATCCGCTGGGCTGGATTGTTACTCTGTTATTAAACCAACTGTTCGATAAATCAAAAAAATCATTATAACTTACATGCGTTACGCTGTTGTCATAAATAACGTTACAGGTTTGCATATTTAGGTGACGTGTTTAAGTTACCTTCAGTAAATGTCATGTAGCCCGACTTTCACCCAGTTCAAAAATCTTAATTGAACGCAACCCAGTCGTTCAACGTTAGTTAACTTAAAACATTTAACTTACAGGACGTTTACAGTTAACTTAATGTGTATGTGACAGCACGTTTTAACCTTAAAGTTGCTGATTTAACAGTTAACGTTAGTATGTGTAGTACAAAGTCATAATAACGACAACGAGCAGTGTGTTAGCTGCCTCGGTAAAGTTACTGCACTTCACTAGAAACCACTATGTTAACGTTAGCGCTAACATGCACGATTAGCTTGCAGAATGAACGTTAC